TTTAATTAGCTGAACAGATCATGATTTTATTAGTATTAATAAAGTGCAATAGTTAGTTTCTGAGAAATAAGGGGGTGTCACTTTAGGAGACCTATGTCAATATCGGCAACTTTCCTCTATTATTACAGTACGGGATTACAATATTATAACAGTACCCAGAGTTAGTACATATATTGTACCTAATATCGATATTGATTTTCAGTACCGTAACAAAAATAATACTGTAACAAAAATCGTTACTAATTCATAATATTGCAACAGTACCAAATATTAATATCAATTTTTAATATTATAATAGTACTAATACTGTATAAAAAGTCCGTACCAATTCTCTATACCGCAAAAGCCGTATAGCCAATTCAATAAAGGTTACAACTTCAGCTTTAACTCCAGACAGAGAAGGCAGAAGTGACGATACTTGTATTTTGTGGTCCTTTTATATCATGTCTGGACGTTTTTCAAACACGCGAAAATCAGCCGCCTATTAATCTTTTCGGAAATTAATTTTATGCAAGTTGATTTAAATATACGCTGAAACAATTGCACTTGTTTTGAAGATAATCTACCGACAGCCCTTGTAGAAAAGTACTACTGGGCACTAGGAGTATTTTGAGGCACTATTGTACTACAGCACTACTGTACTACTACACTAGTAGTAGTGCAGAAGTGTTCACTGTTCAGTAATGCTGCGTAATGCTAAGATCTTCTATATATCCGCGTTTCGGCAAGATATAAGATGCAGAAAACGAGTATGCATCACAGAAACTAACTATTAATAACTTTATTTTTAAAAAAGCGCTTTCAGAGACTCTACGAGCACACTCTGATCAAGCTGATAGTAAGTGACGGATTTCATTTACATATGCCTATTGTAGGGATCCGCGTCATTTTTTCCTTACGGAAAACGAATCCATCTTGCGGCGATACTGCGTATTATGCCGCTTGCAGAGGGGTGGCACCCAGTTGGACACGGCTCAATTGGACACGAGCCACTCACAGCGCTTGAGACTACAAAGCTCCTAAGCACCGGTCGCTGTGATTGGTGGTGTCCAATCGAGCCGTGGTCAATCGGGATCACCCCTTGCAGAGTATATGTACGCTATAGACGCCGCCAAGCAAGCGGTGTAATACGCAGTACCGCCGCAAGATGAACTCGTTTTCCATAAGGAGAAAATGACGCGGATCCCTATAAATAGCCATATGTAAATGAAATCCGTCACTTACTATCAGCTCGATCAGAGTGTGCTCGTAGAGTCTCTGAAAGCGCTTTTTAAAAAATAAAGTTATTAATAGTTAGTTTCTGTGATGCATACTCGTTTTCTGCATCTTGTATCTTGCCGAAACGCGGATATATAGAAGATCTTAGCATTACTCAGCCTTACTGAACACTTCTGCACTACTACTAGTGTAGTAGTACAGTAGTGCCTCAAAATACTCCTAGTGCTCAGTAGTACTTTTCTACAAGGAAGTATGCTGGCTCATCACTGACGCTTGACATATTCTTTTGAAATAATTACAATACAGATCCGATACTGCAAATATACTGGCGGTATACAGTTTTGATACTGGCCCCCGATACACTGGTTTTGACAACCTCAGTACACATGCAATATCGAAAATCTACTGGCAGTGTACTAGATCAGTACTGTCGCCCGACATAATCCTTTCTCAATTTTAGTACGGACGTGATACCGATTATCTATCGACAGTATGCTGGGTCAGTACTGACGCTTGACATATTCCTTTTACTAATTACAATACAGACCCGATACTGCAAATATACTGGCGGTATACAGTTTCGGTATTGGCCTCTGACACACTGATTTTGGCAACTTCAGTACACATACGATATCGAAAATCTACTGGTAGTGTACTGGATCAGTATTACTATTCAATACTGATTCATATATTGGGCCAGTACCCTATCATTAGTTTTATGGTACTGGTCCAGTACTAAAATATGAAACTCATTTTTCTTCTCAGTACAGATTCGGTACCTCGCCAGGATTCAATACCGCTTTTCTGTATAAATTCCCACTTGGGGAAGTATGCAATGCAATATTCATATTTTAATTTATTGTACACTGTGCAGTGGATAAATTGTAGTAACAAATTTATTTCTAAGTTATAGAAATCTTAATTTTTTCAGGAAAGTTTTATTAAATAATAAATCACTTAATTTAATAAATGACAAAAACTTGCCTAATATCTATCCAGAAATTATTATCAATCCTGACGGTCTTGAACTAGAACTGCCTTCTGGCGGTATAGGTTTCTGGATTATACCCAGTGCAAAGGTAATTAAAATTACCAATAACTATTTTGCTTATGTATGTATGTACATCTTTAACAATGCGTCGATAATCAAAGAAAGTATTAATTTAACAGGTAAAAGCTTGTACTTGCTCTGAAGAGGAAATAATCGAGAACAATGCAGTGAAGAAGTTATCGAAACGGCATGAAAATAGTATCCAACAAACTAATCAAGAAGGAGAAGATATAAAAAATTTAAATCAGTCGAATTTAAAAAATGAAAAGGTTTACGATAAACAAGATAGCAAAAAACAAGAAAGCTTAAAAAATATAAAAAATGAAAATCAGCAGAAAGTCTGGAGTTCTAAATTACTTGAAAAAATAAAAAAAATTTTCAAAAAAAAACTACAAAAGACAGATAAAAACGAATCCTCGCAAAGATCATTCACAATCAATTTGGGAAAACAAGAAAATTCATCTGAGGAAATAGAACAACAAAATTTAGATAAAAAAAATTTAAAAAGAACGGAAATTGATGACAAGTTCAAAAACATTCAAGATTTATTAAAAAAATATAAAAGGATTCTACTAGAGAAGAAGACCGTAATGGAAACCAGAAATATTCAACATTTCAAATTAGAAATCGAAAATATTGATAATGTTGTGACATTAATATCAAAGATTGATGCTTTTATCCTTTATAAAATTACTTCAAAGGAACCAATTACGAGCGAAATTGAAGACAAAATAGAGAATGAAAGAAAAGAAGAGTTAGTAATTAAAATAAATAAAAAATTAAAAGAATATTTCAGCGAATTAGAAAACTCAGTTGAAATAAAGACAAATATAATAACAAAAATAAAAAAATATTTCAATAAACTTTATAATTTATTAGAATACAACGACTCAACAAACGACAATAAAAATAATCCAGTCCATGGAGATTTAATGGAGCAAAAAAAATTTAGGAGACATTTGGATGGAAAATCGAAAAATTTTCAAAAAAATAATATACTTAAAAAACGCTCACGAATAAATAACTTAAAAGATTATGCGATTAAACAGAAGTTACAGAAGATAAAACAGAAAAACAGTGATAATACTGATAATTTAAAAAGGAATTTTATTGATAATAAAAATAAATATAACAATCACCTTCAACAAGATCCTGTTAAAAGATGTTTCAAAAGTGATGCTTTTGAAAATGCTAACCGTCATATTGATAATCAACATTTAGTCCAAGAATATAATAAAATAAAAAACGATAATATCTATAGAAAACACTCTAAAATTGGTGATACGGAAAAATATAAAAATTTAATACAAAGACCTGAAAGGATGAAGAGGGACATGAAAAAATTGGTTGAGGTAGATCTGAGAAGAGATAGTGCATCGGAGAAACATTCAAGAGACGATTTGACAAATTACGTAAATGAAAGAAAAATGAAACTGAAAGATGATGTCAGAAGAGAATTGTTGCGTCCATTTAATCCAAGAACTGATAGCGACGAAAATAATTTTTACGGCTTTTTTCGGCGAGATTCTGTCAAAGGATTTCCTGAGGGTGACATTTTTATGACTGCAGAGGATTCGATAGAGCAAAATGATGAAGGTTACGATTATGTTAAAGATAAAGACGATAGTAATGACGGTTTAAAGAAGAAAAATACACAACACAGTCAAAAATCGACATTAGACCACGCAAAAGATAATACTTGGATTGAAGAAATTAAAGATGATCACTGCGATTACATGCCAAATGCATTTTTTGAGAATATAAAATTATCCAATATGAAAATAAAAGAAAACTCCAAAAATTATAATGATCTAGGAGAAGCAGAATTTCTTTCTAAAGTACATAATAATAATAATAGTGATAATGATAACAATATTGCTATTACAGAAGTTATTCGAAAACAGCCACTTAATGAAGAAAACAAAAGGCACATTGAAGAAACGAGAATTCAACGATTAGTTCACCACTACGATGATTTAAAAAAACAGGAATATAATCGGGATGTACTACAATCAGCTTCAACATATCCTTCAACGTCTTTTGATCAATTTTTTAAAATACCAAATTCCAATATTAATTATCAAGAATCAAACGTAGAACTTAAAGGAGCGAAATTGCAGATGGAACCAGAATCGAAAATTACAAATTCTTTTTATCCACCTTCTAAAGTTTCTACTGACAGATACAATTATAACGATAATTATCAAACTTCAAGTATGCATTATGATATATTAAAGGATAAAAATGGCTTTGATAAAAACATAGACAGTAATGGTAATATTAATGCAAAAGCAAGTGAATATTCTAGACCTAGTATGTATGCAGAACGTTCTATTTATAATAAAATTTTTCATAATAAAAGAAATAAAAGAGGCAATTGGGAAAAGCTTGGAAAGCTTTTTGTTGAAGAAATGATTAAAGAAGATGAAGAAAATGCAAGAGATTGTCATTGTAGAGTCATTCGAGATTCTGATTCGCCGAAAAAACATAATATTTCAGTTATACCTATAGCCAGAGTTATAGACACTTCTTCAGAAAACAAAAATGTGAGTGCAAACGTAGCACAATTTCAGAAAGATCTTACAGAAGAAGAGTACCAAGAAATTATGGCAGGAGAAATACTTTCAAGTACAGGCGACATTGACCCTGATTATGAAGAAACTGATACAACTACGAAATCTGTAATCACAGAATTAAAAACATTGGATTATAAACTGAGCGAGACAACAAAACCGATTGATGTAACTTCAATATTAGGACTAGACAATGTTTCCAAACAATATCATAATGAGAAGAAATCTACTACTAATCTATTACCTGTGGACTCAGATTCAAAACTTTCTTTAAATAATAATAATAATATTAAATATATCACAAAAAAAACGTTTTTTCATACCCAACTACCAGACGTCCAATCAGAAAACAAGACAAAAACGTACGATTCTCTCCAAATTATTTCTAAAATTTCTTCAGAAAATAAGGATCCTCGGGAAAAATTTATTATCTCGACTACTAATAACGCCCAAAAAACAACCTTATATAACGAAAAAGTACAAGAACTCATCAACAAAAAGAAAAAACCCGACAATTCAATCTATCCAACAATCACCGAAGATCAGAAAAACAAAAAAGGGCACAACAACGATTGTAAAATTGAATTGAAGTCAACCAATTCTCTCAAAGAAACAACAAAAGGAATTGTCGAGCAAGTAACAACTGAAACAATTTTATTAAAGCGAGCAGCAAATACTGCAATCGATAACACAAAATCGAATGAATCAATAACAAAATCAAAGTTATTACAAAACACAGAAGACAATCAGAACAGTGAATCTGTTTGGACGCAATTGGGGAAAGATGCTAACACGAGAAGATTAAAGAATATACTGCAAAATCTTCCTCGAACATCGTTAGAAAGACTTACCAGATACGAAAAAAGTTTGACCAAACGCACAAAACAGATTGATAAGCTGAAAGAAAAATTATATGCAAGACGAGAGAAAGTGTTGCATCAATATCAAAATGAGCTAACAAAAATTGCTGACAAACAGAAAAGAAATCTGAAGAGAAGGGAAGCATGGGAAAGACTTGATGGCAATGATGATTTTCATCAATTGATCAATCCAAAGTTTATTGGGATTCTGCTAGATGATGATGTTACCTACAAAGATGACGATGTTACCTATGAAGATGATAATGAAACTTGTTTAATTCTTATCGAGCTTATTCCTAAACAATATAAGAATATTATAGATCACATAAAAAGTATACATTTACCTGAAAAAACTAAGAAAGTACATTATCCGGAATATGACAAATATTACCAGGTTCTTCGAAATTTAATCGAATATGATGAAGAACTAGTAGAAACGTCTAAATCGTCGGAATTCTTCAATCGTGAAAACAATCAAGATTGTCGGTATTCCTCAAATACAATTGAAGATGAACAAGAATCAACAGAAACTACCTCTAGGTCTTTTGATCAAAAAGTCTTCATAATTGATCCTTCGACATATTATGGTGGTGAACCAATTTTACAGGACAACGTAAAATTTCCGAAATACCAATCAAAAATTAAATCTCAAATTCAATATCCAAGATGGACATTAAGAAATATTCATGAAGTTCTTACAAAATTAAAATCTAGCAAAGCCCAACATCAAGTTTCTAAATCACAAGAATACATAGAAAAGTTGCCAATCAAGGATTATTATAATCAAGAACATTCTAATAGTTTACATGTTCTAGATAAGCAAAAACAATATGATCTATCAAAAAAACTCGCAGGACTTGCACAAGTCTGGTTGATTTCTCTTAATCAGAAGGATGTCAATCAAGCTAGCAATAAAGAAGTAGATAAATTAAACGATATGCATAAAAATGTTAAAGCAGATAAAGATAATTTGAATTCGACGTTTGCAATAACTAAAACAAAATTTATAAGAAGTTTTGGAACTGAAAGAAACATAGAAAATAAGGAATTTGACAGTTCCAATAATAGAAAAAAAAACATAATAAATTCAGAAATAAATAAAGATGCTGAAGATGTTGTAAAAACTAAAAAACATGAGAACATTGAAATGATAAAGCATGAAAAAATTAATAAATCTTACTCTAATTCAAATGATAAAGCGGAAAATTTAAATATTACAATATTTAGCAATAATAAAACAGTTGAACATGTCATTGAGAATAATCCTAAAGAAAAAGAACTTGGAAAAAAAAATTCACGGTTTCGGAGAGATCTTGGAAAACAAACATGTACATGTACAAACCGATTAGCACCTTCTCTTCAGTAACGTATTTTATCTTTTTAGTTCTTTATGTATGGAAAAATTTACGATTAGCTGAAAAATTTATTCTTAATTTTTTCAATTCTTATTTTTATTAGCAGTAATTTGATAGGTTTTCTGTTTTTAGGTTAACTGAAAATACGACACAAAATTTAACCAATATGCAAGTTTGTTTGAAGGAAGATATCATAAAGAAGATATTTGACATACAATCAATGAAAGTTTATCTGCTGAGAAAAAATGGTAGATCATCAAATGCTGGTTTGTTCCAAAAATTAAAAAATTACTTAATTTCTTCAAGGAAAGATTTCAAAGTAAATCAACAGAATCAGAAAGAATATGACTTAAATTATATCACACTTACGCCGATTGAGATCAAAAATATTTTCGAAATACTAGATATGAAGAATAATGATGATTTGATGGAACATTTTGAGATTCTACAATGGGACGATCAATATGTATTAGAGGCAATTCTAAATTCGATGACCAAATATTTAAATGACAAAACGTCAGAGGAATTTGAATATGAAGATCCTTCAAATCTGCAAAGTGAGAACAGTAAAATTTTTTTAGACGAAGAGAATTATATAAACGAAAATAAGCAAGATGTTATTGCAAAAGACAGTGAAATCGAATCAGAAAAAGATGAGCAATATAAAATCACGAACGATGAAATCAATAAATTTTTAAAAATAAAGAACCAAATAGGATCTAAACTTGGAATGTTTTTATTGCTGCCTTGGAGAAATGTAAAAATAAGACAACAAAGGCAAATTAAAAGTGAGGTCAATGAAGATCTAGCTGAAATAAAACGCGAGGTGAGTTATTTTAATGCAATAGAAATTTATTGAAAAAGAAAATTGACTTTGATATACCTATATTATTTTTAACTTTTTAGAAACTCTTATTATTTTATTTTATACTTATAAAATTTTATTAGTAAATGCAATTTTTTACATTATTAATATTATTATTATATTTTAATACATTAATTTAATTTTTTTATAAGGTTACAAGACAATCACAACCATACAAATCTATTCTAGCTGAAGATCACGAAAACAAACGTACTAAGAGATATTATTTAAATAACAATATTGATAAAGAAGAAGAAGAAATTATGATAGAGACGAAAAGAGTAAATTATTTACAACCTCAAACAAAAAATCGCGACAATCTGCTTGAAGATTTCATAAAAGCATGTAAGAAGAACAATTTGTATAATAACGAAGCTTCTTCTTTAAAAAATGAAGAAAAAATGAAAATACCATTAAATAATATTTCTAAAAATGACAAAAAAATATTACAAAAAGAAATGCCAAGGTTACAAAATCATATGGAATCCGTGGGAGAATTTATAAATGATTCCGAAAAGAATTTCAATGACACCTTAGCACATGAAGACAAACATTTTAGAAATAGGACTTTCGGAACTACTGGCAACGTTTTCTATACTACGATTATGAATATAAAAGATCTTTTTGCATTTCTTCCAAAAATTTTCTCGAATATTTACGCATAACTTTTAAATAACTTGTAAAAATATAATTATATATATATATATATATTATATTAATTCGAATTCTTTATAACATGTTCTTCATATATATGTATCTTTATATTTATAATATAATTTATATGTATATTATTAAACTTTCTATAAATATTTACGTACATTAATAATACTTTATATTATATACATATTCTCACATATATTTGTAAATTATAAATATTCTTAATTACACAGCCCTATTTTTCATAATATAAAATAAATATAAAAGAAAATATAATTCTGCATAAAAAAATTAAAATTAAAATTAGAAATGTAAAATTTCAAATATTATATTCTAGTATTTTCTTGTTTATCTCGAGAACAAAATTCTGTATTTTCATATTTTTTACTTATATTTTCATGTAGAATTGTTAGCTCGCGTAAAGTAGCCACGGCAGTGTCGCTGCGCGTAGCTTAGCGCCGAGACACTATACCAGTGTCTCCAGATACATGTCTAAAACATATCTATTTCTGAAATGTTTCATACTAGTTATAAAATTATATTACTATTAAAAGATTTGTATATGATGTATCTATGAATATTAATTAAAGCTATATGATTTATAATATATATTATCAAATAAAATAAAAAAAAATTGAATGTACATATAAAAAATAATAAAAAGATGTATACATAAAAATACCCTGTACATATTACATATATATTATATTGGATGATGATAAATAAACAAAATGCATTTTTTCGATCCTTATTTCGAATCAATTTTTAAAAATATTGATGTTAACAAATATGGGTTATTACATATACATATATATACCTACATACACACAGGATGGGGCACTTAAAACAAAACACTAGAATATCTCGAAAATTAAACACGGTAGGGAAAAATGTTTCAGACAAAAGTTGTATAATTCGAAAGAGACAAATAATGAAATCGTTTTTTTTTTTAATCGATTTTCAAGGTCACATGGAAGTCACCTCCACTTTTTAAAATGGAATGGTAGAATTTTTTTACATAATATGGTTCCTCTAATTATTCTGCATATGAAAGTATTAAGACAGTGACATCAAAAAGCCAATAGTTTACGAGATTTTATATTTTATTGTGACACATATTGACATAAAATGTTAAATAACTTGTAAACTATTAATTCTTTTATAATCGCACCTTAATACTTTTATGAATATAATAATGAGATAAATAAATTGACAAATATCTAAAAAAAGGCTTGAAAGAATCTATCAATAATAATAATAATAAGCAAGCCCATCAAAGCCAATCATCAGTTAGTCGGATGTACAATTTATTTTCGTGTAATTAAACAAGTCATATCACAATTTTAATAAATAAACGTTTAATAAATAAATTGGTGGAAAAAACACATAGTTGCTTTAAAAAAATATGTGTGCAAAATGGATAATTTTTTAAATAAACAACTATGTGATTTTTCCATCAATTGATTCATCTCATTATTCTGTTCATAAAAGTATTAAGGTACGATTAGAAAAAAATTAACAGTTTACGAGTTATTTAACATTTTGTGTCAATATGTATTACAATAAAGTATAAAATATCTCGTAAACTATTGGTTTTTTTATATCACTATCTTAATAGTCTTATATGCAGAATAATTAGAGGAACCATATTGTGTAAAAAAATCATATCATTCCGTTTAAAAAAGTGGAGGTGACCTCCATGTGATCTTGAAAAATCAATTTTTTTAACCCTCAGTACACACAAGGAGTCAGCGTAACCACCTAATTTTCAGGCATTCGAACACGCTTTGAGAAGTGGTGCTGAGGTTGGGGGGAGGAGGGGGACTTATGTACCACCTCTACAATTCCCTTACTTGGCGACCTTCTACGAGTAATGGGCCATTAGGTACGTAATTGTACGGTGTAAAGTGCGTGTTGGGGTTATCCTAACCCCTTATGTGTACAATGTCAGAAAATCCGAACTTACTGCAAAGTTAAAATGTAAGTAAAAATTATTAATTAAATTATTTATGATTTTAATCATGAGTGCACATCATAAAAAAATGATTTAAATCAATTTTTTTTGTGTTTTTAATATCAGAAAAAAACTTCTTCGTTAATGACTCCCGCGGCAAATGCACCACGATACGGCCAATATCCAATGTAGTAAAAAGTAGGAATGCATCGGATATCCGGAAAATATCAAGTATCTGGTATTATCCTGCACTTTTTTACTATCCGACCGAATAGTCGGATATAATTAGTATCCAGGAATATATCCGGTTGAAATTTGATATTATTAAATTGTTGATTTTTTTCTTATACAAATAATATTCTAGAAACAAGTATGCATATTTATGATGAATATCTTATACATTGTTGCAAAATTTCAATCATTTTCTCTATAGGCTTTCTTTTAAATGTAATACCTTTCCTTTTAAAGTCACCATTTTTTAATAAGCCATTTATTAATAATTATTGTAATTATTAATATTAAATATAATAGTAAATTATTAATACATTACCATAGAAGAACGATAGGATCACTTTTTTAAAATTCAGTTATCCACAAAACTGAAAAATCATTCATTTTCATTTTGCAAATAAAAATATCATTTTTAGAACAAATCGCAAAAACGTTTACAGTTTCTTAAAATTCAACTTATTAGCTGTTGATTTAGCACTAACAAAATCTTTTTTCATTTATTTTTTACAAAAAGATGAGGTTTTGAAAAAAAATTCATTTTTTCACATTTTTTCCCGATCTCTTTTCACTTATTATAAAATACCTTTCGTGCTCCGATATTTTAGACTTCAAAACTAACATTTTTTTACAGTCTTTAAACGTTAGATTAAAAAAAATTAGTTAAAATCGATGCACTATAATCTGAGATACAAGCAAAAGAAAACGCTGGGTTACAAATATCCGGATGTAGGTAGATAGGAACTGTTAGAGATATGGGGGTAGTTAAAAATGATTTCATCCTTACTAAATTATAAATATTAATCGGGCTATCAAAATTAAAAAATATGGACAATAAGAGCATATACAGCGCGAATATTGGTACGCCAATTACTATATAATTAACAAAAAATGTCTCCATACAATATAAATGTACACTAATTATCTGTACCATATTATTCGTACGTTTCAGTTTCCTTCAAACCATCATCAGCGAATCCATAAATGCTATCGTAGATGTCTTGACAATTATCTTATGACAATGTTGAAATTCGAATCTATTTAAGACTGAGGGTGAGCATTTTCCTACTTTCTAGTTGGGAAAAGCCGTAAGTCTCTTCGTTAAAAAGCCAAGTGACTGACTGGAGAACAAATTATGCGAAATTAATTATATTGTTATGTTTTCACACACAATGTATTGTATTACTCACCCTCATTCTCTCCAAATTACAATTCGTTATTCCAAATATAGGAAGTCAAGTTGTACAAAGGAACAATCAAAAGAATTATAGACTTAGTTTTACATAATACGATATAAAATTAAAACATATGTTATCCCAACGGGAGTCAGACAACTAATGACCGTCAAATTCTATTCGGGGAGCCACATCCGTAGAGAATAATTCGTTATGATGAGTCAAACTAATTTAATGTCAATCTTTAAAAACAAAACATAATCAGCTAAAAACGAATACATACAGTCACTATTTAAATCGGTCTAAAATGCTCACATACGAGTGGCGCAAAAATTCTGTATCTGATTGTAATTTCAAACTGTTTTGTTGCAATTGAATGTTCAGCATTTCCGATATAAGTCTCTTATTCAATTTTCTCTCTATGTCCAAGATTTTAGTATCCTCCTATTCAAAATCATGACTGGGTTTCAACCTATGTTGTGTGATCACTGACTCGTTAGACGTATTCCTATTAATGTGATTTCTGTGTTCTTTGATTCTCATTTTTAATAATTGTCCCGTTTGCCCGACATAGGTTGCATCACAGTCTCGGCACTGTATTTTATACACTACACTTTTGTTTGAGCTTGATGGGAGAATATCTTTATGACCTTTGGTAATGCCATCCAATTTATTCAAACTACTACAACATAGATCAACATTCATATCTTTTGTAATATTTTTGAATTTCTCAGATATTGAAGGCAAATAGGGTACCGTGAACCAACTTTTACTCTCATTTTCATCCTCCATATCACTGTTACCCTGTTTTGAGTTTTGATGTCTTAATGATGTGTTTATATATAAAAGATTTCAATCTAGATTGTATTAAATATGAACTCAATTGGGTAGTCATTTTCCAAGAATATATTAACAACAAATTCTACATTCTTAGAGTGATATTTTGGATGCGACAGTAAAATGGCCCTATCAAACATGCCGATTATTACACCTTTCTTTTGTAATAGCGGATGGAGAGAATGGTAATTGATAAACCTGCTCGAAAATGTCGGTTTGTGGAACCAATCAGATTCTATAACACCATCGTTCTGTATTAAGGTAATGTCGAGAAAATTCAATTTATCTCCTCCCTTCTAACGTAAATTTTATTCTTGGGTGCAATAAATTAAAAGTATCAAGAACTTTATTAATAGAATTATACGGAACTGCCATTGCGATATCATATACGTATCTCATATAAAAATTTATATCAATTCTCAAACTCTCT